TTCAAAATCATCAATAAGGAAGGTAGACCTGAGGCCTGGAACAGCCAAAGGGTTGTCAGCGGTGACAGAGCAGGGCAGGACAGGGACTCCTCTAGTCGCCGCTGCCTCCCCCTTGGGATGACATGCGTGAATGACAAGCACCGCTGAGGCGGGACGGGAGGCCAGTGGAGCTCGTTCCTCGCTCCCTGGCATGATGAGTTCCGTGTTCTGTGTCACCAGGCGGGGCACTGACAGACGTGCAACGTGATCTTGGAGCCTTAATCTGTGTGAGCTGCTTTTGGCGATTCAGGGGAAAGGCAGAGGGGTCAGGAGCCTGCGAAGGAATAAATGTGGCTTTGATTTTCAAAAATGGAGGGAAAGATAGATTTAGAAGATATGGGAGGTATACTCGGTGGCAAAGTCCTAGAAACGGTGCTTAAACTGAGATGATTATCGCAGTGGGCTGACTCCTAACTGGCCTCTCTGCTTCGGCACTCAACACCCCACACCCTGGGACCCCAGTGCTGCTCTCAGTCTAGCAATCAGAAGGGTCCCTTAAGTCAAGTCAGCTCAGGCCCCTCCCATGGCTCCCCCTCTCGCTGGGAAGGAAGGCTCAGTGCAATTGCCTGGCTGTTCTCTGACCTGGGGCTCACTGTTACTCTCCCCCCTCCCTCTCTCGCTCCTGCCACACTCGCCTCCTTGCTCTGGGCCTTCACCCATACTACCGTATTCTCTTTGCCTGGATCAAGCTTCCCGCAGATAACTGCTCGGTCTTCTCCCAAAGGTCACCTTCTCCTCAAGGCCTGTGCTGAGCCCCTAGGTGAGCCCTCACCTCCCCTCTTATCACATCCCCTCTCACCTTCTTCCCTCCCTGACATTTCCCCCCATCGCCATCGCCATCACCATCCGGCATTCTGTATACTGACGTATCGGGCCTGCTTGCCAAATTCCTCCCCTCTCTAAAATGCAAAGCCGGGCTCAGAATTTCATCTGCACCCCCAGTTTCCAGAACTGCGCCTACCACACAGTCAAGTTCATGAACTATCTGTGATCACGAGGGAGCGAAGAGAGAGGGAGCGAAGAGAAAGGGAGCAAAGGAAATGGCTTGGCACACTTAGGAAGAGTTCACTAGCCCCACCAATGTGGCTCCGTGGTTGAGCGTCGACCTATGAACTAGGAGGTCGCGGTTCGATTCCCGGTCAGGGCACATGCTCGGGTTGCAGGCTCCATTCCCAGTGTGTGGAGTACAGGAGGCAGCCGATCAATGATTCTCATCATGGATGTTTCTAACTCTCTCTGCCTTTCCCTTCCTCTCTGAAATCAATAAAGATACATATATAAAAAAAGACAAGAGCCCTTACTGATTTGGCTCAGTGGATAGATTGTCAGCCTTCAGACTAAAGGGTCCCAGGTTCGATTCTGGTTAAGGGAATGTACCTTGGTTTTGGGTATATCCCCAGTAGGGGGTGTGCAGGAGGCAGCTGATCTGTTTCTCTCTTATCAATGTTTCTAACTCTCTATCTCTCTCCCCTCCTCTCTGTAAAAAATATATAAAAAAAAAAAAAAAGAGCTCACTAGACTAGGGTGACCAACCATCCCAGGTTGCCCCTAGACTGACAGCTCCTAAAACACAGGACTTCCAGTGCTAAGACCAGAAAAGTCCCTCTGGCCATCCTATGTGGGACAGCCAGCCTCTTTTCATCTGTGACACAGGGACTAGACTCAGATTCCAGGACTGTCACAGACTCACTGTCTCCTCGTTTTGACAGTGACTCCAACGAAGTCAGCCTAGTGGGAGAGAGAACACAGAAATGCCAGCGCAAGATCGTACGGTTAAGTGGTTTGCAGTTGTCTGAGCGACCACGCCAGGCATGCTGATTGATGGCCCGTGTCAGGCTGGTGGTGAGCCACAGCCCATGCCCACCCAGGTCTGCTCCGCAATCTGTCTGAGCCGGGGATGGGGACATGGAAGGCAGGACTGAATGGAGCAGTGGCATGCACTGGGGAGGGAACGCTAACATGTACAGTAGTTAGGCTGGGTTTTGAAATCATCCTGATAGATGGAAATGATAGGCCTTACATACTTAACATTTAAACAGAATTAAATTGTGCTTTCTATTGAGGGTTAAAAAAGCAACCCTCCACGTACAGAAGAGACCGGGGAAATAGCTATTTTGCTTGTTTTAAACGCAGCATGTGTAGCTGCCTACATGCTCAGTCCAGTGTGAATGCTGACTTCAAATGCCACTTGGCCTGTGTTAATAGACAGAAGGGCATGGTCCCCGCCCTCCCGCCTGCTCGCAGGCACCTGAGCACATGCCGGCTCTGAGCCGGGCCAGGCGGCCCACTCCCATTCCCTCCGTGTCTAGCTTTTCTAGGAAACAGCCCCCCACGAGGAGCCTCTTTCTCCTTCTCCCTGACGGACTGTGTCCTCTCTGTTCACCTCACTGCTCCTGGCAGCCAACGCGCTGAGGACTGTGGTCGGCAAATTGCGGCTCGTGAGCCACATGCGGCTCTTTGGCCCCTTGAGTGTGGCTCTTCCACAAAATACCACGGCCTGGGCGAGTCTATTTTGAAGACGTGGCGTTAGACGAAGTTTAAGTTTTAAAAATTTGGCTCTCCAAAGACATTTCAATCATTGTCCTGATGATATTTGGCTCTGTGGACTAATGAGTTTGCCGACCACTGGCTTAGGACATGGGGATCCGGTTGAAAGACAGGTTACGTCGCCATAACTGCCTTTCCTCCCCAGAAGAAGGGGTTCATTTGCAAGGACTCAAGCAGCTGTGGCTCCAGGGCACCTGGGAAGTAGCAGTACAGCCAGACACTGGGTGTGCGGAGCCTGGACACCGGAATAGACCCCCCCCTCTCCCCAGGAGCTCCCCCCCCCCCCCGCCCCTGCTCCCCCAGGGCTTCCTGTCTGCAGCTGAGGTGTCTGAGGGAAAGGAAGGTAGCAAAGAGGCCTTCCACCTTCCACCCAGGCTGGACGTCCGGGCTGCTCTGAGCTGGTGGGAGCTGAGGCCTCGGGCCTCCCCCTGTGCGCTGCTCACTGTCCGGGTGGCTCCACTGGGCCCAGGGCTCCTAGGGGAGGTGTGGGGTGGCAGCAGGTGACGGGAGGGGGCTGCAGGGCTCCACAGGCTTCCCAGGGCTTCTGGGTGCTCACTTAGGGGAGCAAGAGCTTGAAGCTCTGTGCCATGTGGGTCCATCCAGAAAGGCAGCAAAGAGAGGGGAAGGGAGGGGAGAGGAAGCAAAGGGAGGAGAGGGGAAGGGAGGGGAAGCGAAGGGAGGAGAGGGGAAAGGAGGGGAGAGGAGGGGAAGGGAGGGGAGGGGAAGGGAGGGGAAGGGAGGGGAAGGGGAAGGGAGGGAAGGGGAGGGGAGAGGGGAGAGGAGAGGAGGGGAGAAGGGAGGAGGGGTGAGGGAAGTTGAGGGGAAGGGAGGTGTTGATTTTCAACTGCAGTTTTCCATGATCCGCAGAGGCCCTGCCCACCTCCTCCCCTCCTGCTTTTTGGACCTCGGATGGCCAATAGGCTAGCTCCCAAGGCCAGCTCCAGTCAGTTGGCGGAGCTGCCCAGAACGTAGCTGTGGTGACCCCAGGGCTCACCAGGAGAGAACACTGGAGGCCACAGAGCCCAGGTTGTGGCGCCGGTAGGGGCGGGAGCGTGTTTGCTGTCTCTGCTTGCCCACCCCCTCCACACAGAGCACATCACCACCCCTGGGAGCAGCCCACCAGCGAAGTGGGAGGAGCAGAGGCCCCACCCGCTCTCCCTTTGGGGCCTGGGGCAGGAGTGGGGTGTTCAAGCACGACATGCTGGGTAGAGCCCTGAGGACCTCAAAACGCAGCCCCCAGACCATCAGGATCACTGAACACGCGTTAGAATGGCGGAGGCTCGGGACCTTCCCAGGGCTAGGCTAGAGGCTCCGCGGGGAGCCTGGGGTGGGCCCCACCACCCATGGGCCCTGGTGACTCCGAGGCAGGCTGAGCTCAGGGGCAGGAGGCCTCTGGGAAGATCTGCAGAGAACCCTGCTCTCCTGTGCTCCCCCAGGGAGGAGCACTCCCCTCTGGCTGGGGTGAGGTGCTCTGTGTGGGTCCTGGGCCGATGCTCTGCCTGGCCTGGCTTCCACCAGTGACTCCATAGCGGCTCAGCGCAGCCTCTGAGGCATCTGCTGACATGTCTGGAGCACAGGGCCCTCAGGCCCACCTCCTGCTGCTTTTCAGTTCCAGTAGCTCCATCACTTTCTCCAGACACTCCCCAAAAAGCTGCCCCGCTGCCTGGCCCACGGCAGCCCCTCCCCTCGCCCCCGTGGCCTCTCATGTCCTCTTCACCCTTGGGCTTCGGAAGTCGATCTGTTTAAAAAAAAAAAAAAAAAAAATTCTGTGAAAGCAAACCAGGCTCCCTGCAGATTATACTGAAATGGACCGGAAAGATAAATGCACCGAGTTCATTGTCCCACGGCCCTCACCCCGCCCCCATCCCCTATCACCCCACACAGGCTGCGGCCCCAGTGAGCCAAGTTCTAGCTGTCTTGATGATTTGCAATTCTCGGCATGACTCTGCCCCTTGGGTTTGCTTAATTAGAAAGAGGCCCGGGAAGTGCTTCTTACGCACTGGCATGTTAATTGCTTATCAGAGAATGAGGAGGGGGTGACAGTGTTTGGTGATGGAAATTTCCACTCCCTCCTCCATCTCTGGCTTTTTCTCCCTTTCTCTTCCCACTCTCCTCCTGGCCGCCCACCCATGCTTTCACCCTCTCGTGTCAGCCTCTCGGCTCTTTGTCCCTCTTCCCAGCTCCGAGGCTCAGTTACAGGACTGTCTAGGAGGCCAGGATTGAAAACTGAAGGGAAACCAGTGCCCTGGTTCCCCATTTCCCCTCCTTTTCTTTCTCCTCTTTGGTTCCCACCCCTCCCTCGCTCCCCTCTAGGCTTACAGGTATAACCCCCCCCCACTCCCGCGGCCTCCCCCCTCCCACAGAGAGCTCCAGTTTGTACTCAGGACTCAAAGGACTATTTTCCTTTTGTCTCCTTTCCCTCCTTAGCATGTTTTTCTTATTTCGTTTTATTTTTTACAAAACAGGAGAAAAGAGCGAACTGGGCTGGGGGAGGTGACACATTCCTCCACAAAGGTACAAAATCGCCTATAGAAAGTCAGCCTCTGAGCGCGCGCCATCCTGGCTGCCAGGAGGCGGCGGTCCTGGGTAGCCTCATCCTTCCGAGCGGTGCCCACGGCGGGAGGAGAGGCCTCCTTCAGCCCTTGCCCTGGAGGGGGAAGAGCAAGCAACTGAGACTGAACAGAGGAACGGCGGAGGAGGGGCACATCTTGAGGGCCTGGGGACACGCAGGGACAGCCAGGCGCTGCCCAGGAGCCTCTGGGCATGTAGACAGCTGGGGAGGTGGGAGGTGTTCGCCAGAGTCCTCTGTCCCTTGCAGATGCTCCTCCAAAAGGCAGCAGAGGAGCCCCCCGGCAAGGTGAGGGCCGCGTTCTGGAGGTGGTGGGGAGCAGCCCCCGGGGCCACCACGCCCCGTCTGCCATGGCCCAGCTGTCTGGCCTTGAAGCCACGGGTCCATGTCACTTCCGTGGCAGGGCGTCTGGCCCAGGTGGCTTCCCTTTTGTTAGAAAGTAGTCCTCCTCCTCCTCATTTCTCTACGGCTGAGGACAGGCCGAGCTCCAGGGATCGTGAGACAATGGTGGTGACAGCGTCTCTTCTCCTTCCAAGGACGCGGGCAGCTTCCTCCCCAGATTCCAGGGCCGGACGAGGGGTGCAGACACCACCCGGACCGAGGGGGCACCCCAGCCCCAGAAGGCCCAGGCTGGAAGGAGAGGCCGCCCGCCCACCCCCTGCCGGGGCTGGCCGGGGCCACGGTGGGCGGCTATGCCGGCGGTCAGCAGGAGGACAGCCAGGGCCAGGACGGCTATGAGCCCAGGCCGGCCCCCGAAGGCCCGGTGGCAGGGAGCGGCCTCCTTAGTCCTGGCCCACACGCAGGCCACCTGGGTGTGGGCGTCGGCGAAGGCCACTCGCAGGCAGGCCCAGTACTCTGTGGCCTGAAGGAGGCGGGTGATGTTGTAGCTGTGGGTGCCCCGGGGCAGGCGGGCCAGGGCGGCGGCCCCCTGGCCCCGGGGGGCGGAGGCGGCGCTGGACCAGGTGAGGTTGGCGGCCACGGTGTTGGGTGGGGGGACCCAAGAGAGCAGGATGCGATAGGGGTGGGTCTCCTGCACCCGGAGCTCCAGCCCCCACCCCTTGTCCCGGCCTCGCTTCCTGGGAGCCCGGCCCACCTCCACACTGACCGTCTTGGTGTCGGCCCCCACCAGGTTCTGGGCCACGCAGGTGTACAGCCCCGCCTCGGCCGCAGTCACCCTCCGCAGCTCCAGGGTCCCCTCGGGGTGCACCCGGCGCCTCCTGCCCGCGCGGGCGTCCGCGGTCAGCCGGGCCCCCGCCGGCGTGACCCAGTAGACCTCGGGCTCGGGCTCGGCCAGCGCCCGGCAGTGCAGCGCCAGGCTCTGCCCGGCGGCCACGCGGAGGCTGGGCGGGAAGCTGCGGGGCGAGATGAGGGGCAGGCAGCGGTCCGCCATCTCCCGGAAGGGCACCTCCCGCAGCGGGCGGCGCTGCAGGTCGGGCGGCTCGGCGCACAGGGTGGACTGCGGCTCGATGAAGCGGACGCGGGTGCCGGTGGCGTTGGCCCAGCGGATGACGCAGTCGCAGCGGATGGGGTTGCCGTGGAGGCCCACCTCCTGCAGGCGGGGCAGGGACTCCACCGTCTGCCGGTGCAAGGCACTGAGCGCGTTGTTGTTGAGCATGAGGGTCTCCAGCCGGGGCAGGCGGTGGAAGGCGCGGGGGTGGACGAAGGACAGCCGGGGGTTGTTGGCGACGTCCAGCTTGGTCAGCTCGGGCAGGTTGACCAGGGCGAACTTGTCGATGGAGACCAGCTCCTCCATGTTGTTCAGGCCCAGCTCCTTGAGGTGCAGCATGTTGGCGAAGTCCCCCGGCCCCACCCGCTGCAGCGGGTTCTTGTTCAGGTCCAGGAACTTGAGCCCGGGCACCTGCTCCAGCGCCCGCCGGGGCACCCGGGCCAGCTGGTTGTCGTAGAAGGAGAGGCTCTCCAGGCTGCGCAGCCCCTCCAGGGCGTAGCTGGAGATCTCCCGGAGGCTCATGCCCGCCAGCACCAGGCTGCGCAGGCTGGCCAGCGGCCGGAAGTTCATGTCCAGGAGGGCATCCACCTGGTTGCCGCCGATCATGAGGATCTCCAGGCTGGGCAGCGCCTCGAACCAGCGGCTGTCCACGGCCCGCAGCAGGTTGGAGTTGAGGTGCAGCCGCAGCAGGTTGCCGAGGCCGGCGAAGGCCTGGGGGGCGATGCGGCGCAGCTGGTTGTGGTTGAGATAGAGCTCCTGCAGGCCGGCCAGCCCCGCGAAGCTGTGGTCCTCCAGGCGGGTCAGCTGGTTCTCCTCCAGGTGCAGGCTCAGCAGCTGGGGCAGCGCCCGGAGGTCGCAGTCCCGGGCGTCGGCGAAGCTGTTCTGGGACAGGTCCAGCTCCGTGAGGTTGGCCAGGTAGCCGAGCTCGCTCCGGCCCACGCGGACGATGCCGTTGCTCTGCAGGAGCAGGGTCTGCGTGCCCGCGGGCAGCGCCGGGGGCACGGCCGTCAGGAACAGGTCGTTGCAGTCCACGGTGGTGGCCTCGCGGTAGGACGAGCGGGGCGTGTACCAGGGCCGGATCTGGCAGGCACACTGCGGGGGGCAGGGCACGCGCCAGGGGACCACGGGCACGGCGGCGGCGGCACCCGCCACCCACGCCAGCAGGAGGGCGGCCGCGAGGAGCCTCATGGCGGAGCCGCGGGGGAGGGCACCATCCACAGGAAAAGTCTCAGGTCCTGCCCTTAGCGGTTCGCAGGCTGAGGGTCAGCAGCCTGCCAGGGCCTGGGGAGCCCCGCTCCCAAGGCAGTCATGGGGGCCGGCTGGGCGTCACTTCCCGCCCTCCTGGGTGCGGCTCTCCATCCTTGCCCGAGGGGCCCGCTCACTCATCGCCATGCCCAGCAGGCAGCCCTGGAGGAGAGCAGGCAGAGTTAGGCAGGCGGAGAGAAGCAGAATCCATCCCTCCTCCCCGCTCCCTTGTCTGACTCAAGAGGCGCGCCAAGAGCTGAGCGGCTGGGTCTCCTGGGCCCTGACCTGGATCGTAGGCTTTAGTGTCTCTTTCTAGGACCCGAGGCGGGAAGTGGGTGACTGGGAGGCTTCAGGGCAGGAGGAAGAGGTTGGGCCTTGGAAGCTTCTGGAAGACTCGGGAAAGGTGTGTGTGTGTGTGTGTGTGTATGTGTGTGTAGTGGAGAGGGGACGCTGCAATCATTGTCACGTTCAGAGTCCTCTGAGCCCAGAGAGAGGTGGAGTGGATTCTCCAACCTTCCTCATCTCTCTCCATCTGCCCCCTGGGCTCCCTCGGTAAATGGAAAATGAAGGGAGTCTGCAGACGTCCCTCTGAGTGCTCTGGGCAGAGGATGGTGCGGCTTCTGCCTTCCAGTGTGGGCTCCCAGGACCGTCTAAGGCAGCGCCCGCTGACCCCACCCCAGACTGTCTGGGGAAGGCGATGGTCCTGCCTGAGGGATGCTTACTCCTCCTGGGCGGGTGCGGGATGACCATGGGAGGCATGGCGCCCGCCCTGCGCGGGAGAGCGGCATGCCTTTTACATCAGACTCCCTCCCTCCCTCCTTCTTTGGCAGCCACCTGGGTGCATTTTGTCACGGTTGTTTTTCCCAACCAGGACTTATGTGGGCACTGACCCATAAAACTCAGGGCAAGCAAACACATGGGCACGCGTGCACCTACATACGTGTGCAAGGGGGGCCTGAGGGGCCCAGCCACCCCAGCCATGCCTGGTGGCCAGGATCAGGGGAGGGGGTTTTGCGGGACACTCCTTGGGTGGAGAGGCAGCAGGGATAGCTGGTTCCCAAAGGGCCTTGTCATGGAACTGGGTCCAAGGCCAGAAGTCCCGCTTCCTGCCTACACCTGGCATGAAGGGCAGAACCCACCAGCAGGAGATCTTGCTGTTACACACACACCACTCCCACCAGAGCGCCGTGGGAACAGCTACTGACTTCTGGGAGCTCCTGTTCCTCATTAGGGGGAAGGGAACTGTGTTGCACACGGAAAGAGTTCAAGAAATGTTAGTTTTGCTGAAACCGGTTTGGCTCAGTGGATAGAGCATCGGCCTGTGGACTGAAGGGTCCCAGGTTTGATTCCGGTCAAGAGCATGTACCTTGTTTGCGGGCACATCCCGGGAGGGGGATGTGCAGGAGGCAGCTGGTCGATGTTTCTCCCTCATCGATGTTTCTAGCTCTCTATCCCTCTCTCTTCCTCTCTGTAAAAAAATCAATAAAGAAAAAAAAAAAAGAAGAAAAGAAATGTTAGTTTCCTTCCAGCTCCATTCATCCCCCGGGGTCGGAAGGCCCTCTAACCAGGGCTTTTAGGAGGAACAGAAGTTGGGCCCTAGAACTTGACAAGCCTCTACCGTGTTTCCCCGAAAATAAGACATCCTCCGAAAATAAGACCCACCTACAGGTTTCCTTCTGAGTGAAATATAAGGCATCCCCCCGAAAATAAGGCCCCGCTAGGCTAAACATGAGAGATTTGGTCCACTGGTTCTGAAAGAAATGGAGTCACAAGAAATTCACCAGCAAATTCAGGAATTGGATTGTTATGATGATGTTCCAGAAGATGATGACATGATTGTCATTGAATAAATGAGTAAATTCTTGATACTGTAGGATTCACAGTTTGTCTGGTTTGTGTTGACTACTACCGTACCGTATACAGGTAATAAATTTCCTTTATTTTCATTTAACAATAAATGTGTACCGTATTCTTCTTCATGGAAAAATAAGATATCCCCTGAAAATAAGACCTAGCGCATCTTTGGGAGCAAAAGTTAATATAAGACCCTGTCTTATTTTCGGGGAAACAGGGCATTATGGTATGCTTGCCAATGGTGTGCTCAGTGTTGCCCCAGGTGATGGGGTGGGGAGATGTGAGCAGAAATACACAATAGTATGCCCCACCTTCTAGGACTGCCTCTCTAGGCAGCACCCAAAATGCAGTGATTGCGAGAGCCCAAGACCATTCATGGGCAGAGAAGGCTGGAGTGGGTGGGGAGGGGTCTTCAGCTGAGCCCTAGGCATCTCAGACCCTGCCCGAGTCCAGGGTGTCTCTCCTTTGTTCTAACAATTTTGTGATGGAGAAACCATTTAAAACAATTAAAACCGCCAAAACCGGTTTGGCTCAGTGGATAGAGTGTCAGCCTGTGGACTGAAAGGTCCCGGGTTCGATTCTGGTCAGGGGCATGTGCCTTGGTTGTGGGCACATCCCTGGTAGGGGGTGTGCAGGAGGTAGCTGATTGATGTTTCTCTCTCATCGGTGTTTCTAACTCTCTATTAAAAATCAATAAAATATATTAAAAAAAACACACACACAATGAAAACCCTTCAGGGCCGGCCAGCGCTGGCCTTTCCCTGCACCCCAGGCTGGGATGGGTGATTGAGGCAATGCTCTGGCCTCACCAGGAGGCCAGGCCCTGGGTGCAGCACCCAGAGAGAGAGGCAGGGGCCTGATGACTCACCTCTGATTCTGAGACTTAGCAAAGGCCCGAAAAGCCCCCCATACCCCTGCTGAGCGTGCAGCCCGTCCAAAGTGGAGCTCAGAGCTGCCCACTCACCTGCCATCGCCATGGAAGGCTGCCTTGCACGCGGCCCACTCACGCAGGCTGATGAGCCGTTTCTGCCAGGAGCGCAGAGAAAGCTAATTGTCTCGTATCCATAATCTCCCGGGTGAGCAGGAGTTCAGGCTAATCATGTGTGCCTTTCCCAACGGGGTTCCAAACTCCTGGAGCAGGGGCCGGGTCTTACGTGCTGTTTGTGTCCCCACCGTGCGTCAGAGGGTATGTGTGAGTGGATACAGATAGGGAAACGTGTCATCTTCCCACAACCCTGCGTGTAGGCATAGGAGGGATTTAGTCTCCCTTTGCAGGGAAAGCAACGGAGGCGCTGAGAGGCCAGCTGACTTGCCAGACTCGCACATGTGTCAAACACAAGGCCCGCGGGCCAAATCCGTCCTGCCAGGCCTTGCAATGTGGCCCGCACCGCGCTGTCATCACTGCACTCCGCTGCGTTTCCATCACAATGACAGTTTATGACTGTTCAGTAAACCATTCGGCTCGCGATTTAGGCTGGATTTTAGATTTTGGCCCCTTCTCTGATTGAGTTCGACACCCCTATGCCAGAGGTTGCACAGCTTCTACAGGTGGGGCCAGGATTCAGACCCGGGTCTTTGACTCTATAATGTGAGCCGCCAGCCCGGCCCACGCTCCCTGCCCCACGGACCAATGCCTGTCTCATAGGAGCAGAGTGCAGGGCAGCCTCCTTCTCCCTGGCTACCCTCAGGCGCCACACCTAGGCTCCCGGCTACAGTGACCCACTGGCGGGATGGCGGAGGGAAGAAGACTCTGTTGCTAGGTGAATGTGGCTGGGCCTGGAACCGCAGGGCAGACAGCCAGCAGGCCTCACGCAGACTCGGGCCTGCCTTCTGACTGGGGGCTGGGGCTGTGGCTCTTTGCCAGCACTGCTGCCCGCACGGCCTTCAGCTACGGGAGGCAGAAGGCCCAGGGCCTACAGTCAGGGAAGCAGGGTTGCCCGCTCCGGGGGCCAACGTTTCTCTTGGAAGGGCTGGCTCTGCAGGCCCCACCTGCCCCAGGCAGCTGCTCTGGACTGAGCAGAGTGTGGGCCTGATTATTAAACGAAGCTCTGGAGATGCTGCTGTCAGGAGCCAGAGCTGCCTTTTCCTCCTCTCCGGCCCCGCGCCCGCCCCGCACAGTCCCCGTGCTCCTGCCACATCTAAATTGCTGCTCCTCCAGCCACTCACAGCCTCCCTCCCAGAAATCCCCCCTCCCTGGCGCCTCCACCCAACCCCTGAGAGCTGGGGTACTGGAGGGAGGGGAGGGCGGCAGGCGGTGATCGATTGCCTGGCCTTCGCAGCGTCAGTGCCAGGCCCCCCTGAGCTGCGCAGACAGATGGGCAGCATAATTGAGTGGAGCGTTGATAAACTCTGGCTTCCTCGCTGGCAGATAAGCGCCGGGTGGAAGGGCTGCAGAGGGAGGGAAGCCATCTGTCCACCTGGCCTCTGCCCCTCCTGGGAGGTGAGCACGGCCCGCACTCCCACCTCTCACTTAATCACAGGCAACTAGGACCTCAGGGCTGGAGCAGGCCTCGGCGGGGCGCAGGCGGTGTTTGTCTAGTCTTCCAGAGCCTGAATTCCTTGCATGACTCATGCAGCGGGGGAGAGAGGTGAAGGGAGGGCCCTGGGCTTTGCAATCAGTGTGAACCTGGCTCTGCCCCTCGCAGTGTGACCTTGGGCAAAGTGGGTGATTCTCTGAACCTCAAACGCCCAGGCTGGGGCGTGGCTCACAGAATAGCTGTGGGCGTAAGGGAGATGCCATGCCTCTTAGTCCCTTCATTGGCCCCTGATGTTGTCTCTTATTCCATCTTCTCTTTTACTTTTCATCTCTCATCGTCGTTTGTATTCAACCTTTAAAGAATATTATTGGGGCGTAATATTTGTCCAGGAGAGTGCACAAACAACACTAATTCTAAGGGCACAGCTGCATGAATGCCTACATTTGTGGATACCAGTTTAACTACCGCGGAGCTCAAGACAGAAATATTTCCAGCATTCTAGAAGGTTCCTGGAAAGGTTCCTTTCCAGTCTCTTCCCGCCCCAGTCTGGTGTTAGCCACTGTCTTGACTTCTGTCCCCTAAACAAGTCTCATCTTTTTTGTTGTTGTTAATCCTCCCTTGAGGATATATTCCCCACCCATTGATTTTTAGAGAGAGTGGGACGGAGGAAGAGAGACAAACAGAGAGAGAAACATTGATGTGAGAGAGACTCATCAATTGGTTGCCTCCCTCATGTGCCCTCGCTAGGGCCAGGGATTGAGCCTTTGACCAAGGTACGTCACCTGACCTGAATCGAACAGGGGACCCTTCAGTCCCCAGGCCACTGCTCTAACCACTTAGTCAAACGGACTAGGCCAGTTTCATCTTTTTAACCCAGATTTCCTTTCTTTTTCCATCACAACCAGGGACATGGTCTTTGGAAACTTCAAAGGATGCCACAAAATCAGACTTCAAGTTCACCTAGTGCATCCGTGTGTTTCCTGAGGGCTACAGCTTCTCAGGGCCTCATGCTTCATCAGCCTTTTCCAGAAAGGAAGGCTGAGTCCTCTTCCTCCTTCCATAGTTCCTAGAAATTGCTCTACGCCTGAGGGCCCAGCTCAGGCTGGATCCTGGGGCCCAGGCCTGTGAGTGCCAGGCTGCCCCGAGGCAGGGAGATGGCAGGGTGACCTCCTGGCCCCGTGCGCCCCTGTGACTCCCCTCCCCAAAGCCCTCTGGGTCCTGGCCACTATCTGTGCAGTGCTGCTCACCCCCTTTCTGCTGCAGACTCCCCCTCCCCCCGTCTTCTCATGAGGGTTCTGGGGCACTGGGCAGAGGACAAGCCCACAGGTGGTCAGGAGGGAGGGGCCCAGCCTCACTTCTAACTGCCCCCAATGCCTCCACCTGCTTGCCTCAGAGGCTCCTCCCACTCAACGTGCCCCAAACTCAGCCATCGTCTCCATTTTCTCCCACCAAGTCCCATATCTGTTAGGCCAGTGTTTCCCAACCTTCTCTCATGATGAGAATCACCTGGTGGAGTTGTTAAACCACAGATTCCTGAATCCCAACTAAGAAGTGCTAAACTAGAATTTTTGAGAACATATAGGTAAAATTGCATACCTAACTTAGTGCTCTGTATATAAAATCTGTCTTAGAGCACTAGTTAAGTATACAATTTTACCTATATGTTCCCAAAAATTCTAGTTTAGCACTTCTTAGTTGGGATTCAGGAATCTGTGTTTTAACAACTCCACCAGGTGATTCTCATCATGAGAGAAGGTTGGGAAACACTGTGTTAGGCAGCACCGTGTCCTCCCCCCACCTCCTCCATGCTCTTTGATCTCTCATCCTCACCCTTAAGTGAGCCTCTCACGCCCAGTCACCTTGTGCTCCCACTCAACAACCAGACTTGCTGTTTCTTTCACCCCTTGGGCATCTCAGGCTGCCTGAAAAGCAGCTTCAACCACTGAGCTCCTCTTCAGCTATCAAAACCCCTCCTAAATGCCCCCTCCACCCAGGTGCTTTTTCAATTCCCTCGAGAAGAGTGGTTACGTGGTTACCCCTCCCCTCCCCCCGAGGACCAGAGACGCTGGGACAGACCTCCACACGGCATGGTTCCCGCTGTCAGGCTGCAGGGCTGCCGTCCCAGCCAGGCTGCGGGCTCCTCGAGGAAACAGTACTTCGCTATTGATCTCTGTCTCTCCAGAGGGTGGTGCAGGGCAGACCTCGCCTGCAGGGGCAGGGCGTGCTCTACTGCCACGAACTGTGAAGGGCAGCCCATTAGTGGGTCATGAAAACAGTTTAAAGCGGGTTACAATCTGCGTTTTAAAAACAGAAATAAAAACAGAAACATCAGAGTGCATTGTATGTAGCTAAACACGGTTGAGAAGTCCCCCCTCTATTACACACACACACACACACACAGAGACACAGACACTCCCTTTATTACACACACACACACACACACACACACACAGACTCACTCCCTCTGTTACACACATACACACACACACCCTTTGTCCCTTTATTACACACACACACACACAGACACTCCCTCTTTTACACACACACACAAACACACAGACACACTCCTTCTATTACACACACACACACTCCATTTCATACACACACACACACACTCCTCTATTTCACACACACACACATATACTCCCTCTATTTCACACACACACATACACACACACACACACACACACTCCCTCTATTTCACACACACACACATATACTCCCTCTATTTCACACACACACATACACACACACACACTCCCTCTATTTCACACACACACACACACACACACACACACACACAGCCCGTACAGGGACATGATGAAAAGGCATGCATTTGGCCTTGGGTTGCAGGTACAAAAGCTCGAAAACCATTGACCACTGAGCAGCTCCCTCTAGGTAAGCGGAGTCCCTTCGGCTCTGGTTGGCAGCACCGCACGGATGCAATACTAGCAGGGGTCCTCAAACTTTTTAAAGTGGGGGCCAGATCACGGTCCCTCAGAGAGCTGGAGGGCCGGACTATATGAACTACTAATTCCTACTGTAACACCTCGGCTGCGCTCACTGCCCAAAAAACCTGGCGGGCCGGATCAGACTCCTCTGCGGGCCACATGTGGCCCGCGGGCCGTAGTTTGAAGATGCCTGCGGCATAGAGCCAAGCCCCGAGGAAAGACGCGCCATTCCTGGGCCCTTCTCCGGCCGGGATCTCTGTGTGCTGGCCGCACCCCGCAGCCTGGCAGGAGTGCTTTGTAGGCCAGAAACCCCAAGCTCAGTGGGCCAGCCCAAGGCCCCACAGCGAAGTGTGGGAGAAGCAGGATGAGAGCCCGGTGGGTTCCACTGGCCAGCCCTTGCTCTTCCTATGATTCTGGTGCCAGAAGCTGGCTTCTAAGAGTGGATGGTGGTGGTGGTGGGGTTCTGGAGCAGAGCAGGAGGGAAACTGGAGGCACCCCCTGGGGACAGAGGAGGTGCCTGGCGTCCTTCCCTCCCCTCCTCTCTGGAGAGGCCTCAGGGTTCCAGTAAAAACCCCTTCTAGGCTGGGAGGGAAGGGACCTGTCCAGACACAGCTCTGTTCCCCGGCCTCCTGGTGGCCCGGCAGAGGGTGGTAGAGCTTGGGCCTGGGAGGAAGCCTGTCCCCTTATTTCTTAATCAGGAGTGGAGGGCGCCAGTCTCTCTGTCTGGTCGCACTGCACCAGAAGGACTGCAGGGAGTGGGGCCGTCCTGCCGGCCCGGAGAGCAGTACAGGCTGGTCCCACCCCTCCCTCTCCGGGACCCCTCTGTGCCCTAACCTCCCTCCGTCATAAACTACCTGTTTACTTGTCTGTCTGTCTCTTCCACCAGACTGTGGGCCCCTCAGGGGAAGAAGGGACTCTGCTCCACGTGGCCAGTTCCTCCAACTGTCTGCACATAGTAGGAGCTCAGAAAACATCTGTGGCAGCGGGAGAGAAAGGCAAGGAAAGGAGGGCAGGGAGAGAGGAGCGGCTGGTTGCTCCAGAGCTCCCGAAGGCCAGGTGGCTGGCTGTCTGGGCTCAGGCCCCTTCCGCCTCCTTCCTCACCAACTGGCCAGAGACACAATGGCCCCCAGAGCCTGGCTTCCTGGGGCCCGCACCCTGCCCCTGCCCCTGCTCCTGCCCCTGCCCCTGCCCATGGCTCTCCTGCTCAGCCACTCCCCTCATGGAGAGAAGGCACTTCTCTCTGACTCAGTTTCTGCTTCTGGATTCGACACGATCCTCTGATGATGCTCACCCTTCTGGAGCTCTCTCAGGCTCCCCTCTGGCCAAATCCTGTGCACTCCAGGCTCCCCCCCCCCCCCGTCCCCCCTACCCTCCTCTCCCCCTGTCCCCCCCCCCCGTCCCCCCTGCCCAGCCAAGGGCTTAGGCTAGTGGTTCCCTGTGAATCCTAGTGCTGGCCCTCTGGCCTTGGGCATCCTCACTCAGGTGCTCCTGTCTCATGGGGTGGGGTGTGTGTCCATAAAGCACCTGGTGCTCAGTAGAGTCCCCTTCCCTTCCACCCTCCTCTGTTTGCTGAGGCCCAATCCCTGGCCCCTAGACCACCAGACAGGCACTGGGAGGGTCAAGCGGTCCCTCCGGCCGAGTCTCAACGTCCCAGCTTGACAGCAGCCCAGTAATTCCAGAGGGGCAGCCAAGCCCAGATCCATGAGCCCTCCAGCCTCCCTCCCTACACCCCCCCCCCCCCCGCCCCGTTCTTTCTAGAATCAGGTGGGGGTGTGGGGCAGACCCTGTAGCATTCTCAAAAGGTTCCCTCTGGAAGCCAGAGATTGTACCTCAGGACACCCCTTTGGACACAATGGGTGCCTGAGAGCTAGACACCGGGGCAGGGAAGCAGGGGGAGCGGTCAGAGAGGCGCAAGCAACACTCCGCTGCTCCAGTGCCTTTGCACATGCAGGGCCCTTGCCTAGAAGTTCCCTTTCTCAGGTGTGTAATGTCTGCCCATTTCCTTTCTCAGGTGTGTCATGTTACACTGCACCTCTCTCTCGGAAGCTGTCCCTGACCACAGCCATCACCATGAACCAGCCCCTCGCCCCTTCCCGCATCCTCTGAGAATCCGGTCCAGTATGATGCTCATCTCTTCTCTCAGCCTGTGAGCTGCTCCAGGACCACAGGGAAAGCACCACAGATCTTCCAGTCTTGTTCAAGGTGGATGGGGGAGTTCGATGGGGGAGGGAGTGTGTGTTGGGTTTCTCTCTCCAGTGTTTGTGCACAGAGGGAGGGACCCCCAGGGCATGGGGGAGGAGCTGGCGGGGTGGGGGGAGGGGGGGAGATGTTGGGGAGAGCCTCGGGGGCCTGGACAGCTGAGGAGGAAGGGCAGTGAGTGGATCAAATGGGGAGGCGAGTTAAACAAGGAGAAAGGCCGAACCTCTTCTAACGGAAAAGGAAGATGAAATGAGAATGAAAATTGATGAGGCGGAGAGAGAAGGAGACTCGTTTCATCAGCAGGTTTGCCAGATGAAGCTGAGAGATAAATCGCTGGTGGAAGGAGCCTGGTGTCTGCCGGGCTCAGCGCCTGCTCCCTCTGTCAGCTGTCTCAGGCAGCCCGCGAGATGAATGGCTGCAGCTGAAGCCTGCAGCGGCCCCTTCCTACCCCTCCCCCGCCTCGCCTTGACTGCGGGGAGAGTGGCCGTCCTCCCTCACCTCCTCCTGCAGGCCTGCCCTGGCCACTCCTTCACCTGGACCCCGCCTTTGGTCCCCTCTCCAGTCCCACTGACCTCTCCCCCAGCAGCTTCTCCTCCGTCTCCCCTCCCCAAGCGGGGCCTAGGCCTAGGGGAAGCTCTGTCCACCTTCTGCACCCCTCAGCCTGCTTCTCTGAAGCCGGGGGGGGACGTGGGGGGGAGGCAGAGGCCAGGACACAGGCCTGGGTTTGAGTCTGGGCTTCAGGACAGGCGTTGGAACATGTCCTCTCCTTTCTCCAGGCCTTGGCTCCTCACCCAGGAAATGGGCGGGCTGGGCCAGAGCAGCAAGCGGTTCTTAAGTGACGGGCCCTGAGCCCCAGCATCAGCACCGTCTGCAGACTTGTTAGCAATGCGGTGTCTCGGACCCAGCCCCCTCCAGACTCAGACTCTCTGAGGGTGCGGCCAGGGGCCCAGGCTTGCCCAAGCCTCCAGCTGCTCCCCTCTGAGACCTGCTGGGCTGGATAATGGCCAAGTTGAGATTAGAATTATGTAAGTGTATATGTACGTGTATGTGTACGTGTATATGTATGTGTATATGTGTGTGTGTGTGGTGTATATATATATATATATATATATATATATATATATGTACATGATGAGCTTCTTATCGTTATCCTGACAGTTTAGACAGTTTAGAGTTTCCAGAACCCCCCTCACCTCCACTGTGTACACAAAGAGCATTCACCGAGCCCTGACTGGATGCTGGTGTGATGTGGGTCTTGGGGTACAAGGTTATGGGGAGGGCGGGCAGGAAGGCACAGATAGAAAACCGCTCTGCTGCAGCATGAGCACCGGTGTCACCGGCATTTACCGAGGGCAGCAGGGGCACAGGGAGGAGAAAACACAGGTGGGATGTTGGGCCAAAAAAATCAGAGCAACTTGACCAAACGTCATGGAATTGCCCCTAAAAATGGGTGAATTTGATGGCATGCAAGCTCACCACTTCAATAAAGCTGTTTTTTTTTAAAAAAAAAACCACAAGGGGAGTGCTGCCGGACTCAGCAGGTCAGCAGGCGCGCAGATGGTGGAAGGCACATGCGCATACTGGAGACGGACTGGGTAAAACGCGTGGCGTGAATCCCGAGGTGGCTGCCCTGAGGTCCCGTGTGCATGGCGTGGGGAAGAGGCCGGAGCGGCGCGCCAGACTGAACGGTCTGGACCCGGCAGTGCAGGAAGAGGGCCGCCAAAGGGCACATGTAGGGCTCCGACCACTCCAGCCATCACTGCTCCTAACCCGTCAGGAGGGGATTTCTCTTGCAATTTAAATCCTTCCATAGCCACCATCCTATGTGATTCTCACAATAGCCCTGCAGGGTTGTAGGTGCCGTCACTCCCGTTTCAATGGAAAGGATAGTAAGTGAGTTGCCCAAGATCACACAGCAAGTGAGGAATGGGGCCAGGGCTAGAAGATAGACTGTGATGCCAAGTCTAGGCCTTCTCTTCTCAGTGGGACAGCAGCAGTGACCATGGGAGCCACCGACTGAGGACGGAGCCAGGCCCTGGGCTGGGGCCTGCCCTGAGGGGCTGCACTACATGCTCACACACTGACATGGATGACTGACCCACATCACTAGTGTGAAATGCTCAAGGATGCACAGCTGGTCCAGCCAGGACCCCAGCGTGGTTATGGCTGGTGCCAAAACCTGTGCTCTACATCTTGACCCCACGTCCCCTCCTGCAGAGCCCACTGCCTAGCTCTCCTCAGGCCTGGAAGGGATTGGACAACTGCCAGCTGACTTCTTATTCAAACTCTGTGAGCCGGGGCCAACCCAAGAGACAGCCCTGGCCCCTGGCCTACGCCAAGCAGCCCTTCCTCAGGGGAGGGCCCTTCCCAAGCCGGCCTAGAGGCTCCCTCTCCCAAGCTGGTCTGCACCTCCTGAGCCCAGCACCCCCCCTGGGGGACCCCTGGCTCCCAGCGCCCCAGAGTCTGGTGGCTGGAAAGGCTTCTATCCATGATCAATAACAGGCATAATTCAGTGCCTGCAGCAAGTACAAAGGAGTGGAGGTTAAATCAATATTGAGAAGTTTCGAAATTAAACTAATTAAGAGCAAGCCTTAATGATTTTTACTGTCTGGGAGTAGCGAAGACAAAAGGCCCATATATTTCATGCTTCTACCCTAGCGTCTTGGGAACTTGGGAAGCAGAAGCTGGAAAGTGCTCCCAGCTCTCTGTCTTGCAGGAGAGGAGAGCGCCTCATGCTCGGGAGTAAGAGAGGGGGAGGAGGAAACGGAGGCTTGAGCACAGGATGCAAGCTGCATGCGTGGAAGGCCGTAGGCCTGGGTCAGGGACCAGTGTGGTTGGACTGTGACCTCTCATCTCCGTGAAGATATATTGAAGCCCTAACTCCCAGTCCCTGTGAATGTGACCTTCATTTGGAAATAGGGTCTTTGCAGAGGGGATCGAGTTAAGAGGAGGTCATACTGGATCACAGCGGCCCTAACCCAGTGGTTGGCGAACCGCGGCTCGTGAGCCACATGGGGCTCTTTGGCCCCTTGAGTGTGGCTCTTCCACAAAATAACCACGGCCTGGGTGAGTCTGTTTTGAGGAAGTGGCACTAGAAGAAGTTTAAGTTTAAAAAATTTGGCTCTCCAAAGAAATTTCATTCGTTGTCCTGTTGATTATTTGGCTCTGTGGACTAATGAGTTTGCCGACCACTGCCCCAACCCAATGACTGGTGTCCGTATAAAAGGAGGGAAGTTCGGATGCAGACACACAGGCACCGGGAGAATCATGTGGGGATAGCGATGGAGATTGGAGGGCTGCAGCTGCAGGCTGAGGAGAGACACCCCCAGAAGCTGGGAGCGGTGAGGAAGGAGTCTCTCAGAGGGAGCCTGGTCTGACCGACACCTTCATTCCAGACTTCTGACCTCAGAGCCGCGAGACAACGGATTTCTGTTATTTAAGCCTTGTGGCTCGTAGTGCTTTGATATGGCAACCCTAGGGCACGAACACAGGGATCCCGGGTGCTAGTTCCACTCTGCACAGTGACGCTGTGCAAGCTGGGCAAGACGCTTAACCTCTAGGAACCTCAGTGTCCTCCTCCGAGAGGCAGGGACAGAAGTCTTTTGCACAGAGATGTGAAATATGGACACACGAAAGCACGAGTGTGAAATATGGACGACGAGCTGTACGTGCTACAAAAACATCACCTGGCTCGCTGCTAGTGGGAAGAATCTGGGAGGGACTCGGGAGCCATCCGTCCGACGGGCAGGAAGCTCCCTGGCGGCTCGCAGGGCTGGCCTAAGCTCCAGTCAGATCACGGGCGTGGGGTGTCTTTGCATCATCAGAGACATATGTACAGGAAGGCTATTTATTGTTGTCCTCAACAGGGATTTTATTTGCTGCCCACGTGGCCCAAGTTTTCTCATCTGTAAAACAAAAGGGTTGGGCAAGGCTATTTTATTTTATTTTATTTTATTATTATTATTTAAAAAAATCATATTTTATTGATTTTTCACAGAGAGGAAGAGAGAGGGATACAGAGTTAGAAACACTGATGAGAGAGAGACATCCATCAGCTGCGTCCTGCGGACCCCCTACCGGGGATGTGCCTGCAACCAAGGAACATGCCCTTGACGGAATCGAACCTGGGTCGCTTCAGTCCCCAGACTGATGCTTTATCCACTGAGCCAAACTGGTTCTAGCTGGGCAAGGTTATTTTAAAGGTATTTTTCAGCATCATCCTCTGGGCTTATTTATAGACAATAAAAATATAAAAGTCTTAGCAGCCGACCTCATCCTTCAACCTCCCTCCTTAGCCCCGTAGTCGAGAACCATTCAGAGGGACGCCACTAAGCACTGGCTTTGCATCCCTCTGTCCCCTGTTGCCTGGGTTCAGGGAGGGGCCGGTTGCCCTCTGTCCTCTCTCAAGAGTGTACCCGGAATGGAAGGACAGGAAACCACACAGGCAGCAAATAAGATCTCTATCGATCATGAGGCGGCAGGCATCCCAAGTCCGGCTGGCTCCCCGGTCTGCTCATCGCAAACTAACCTTCCCAATGACCCTCTCGCGCTGACTCCTGGGGCCGGGCCTGGCAGTGGACCAAGGCGGCTGAGCATGGGCGGCAGCACGCAGTCCGGCATCTTCCGGGCTCCGGGGGTGAAGGCTCTCGGGTGGCCTCAGCCTTTCGGAAGGAGCTGCGCCTTGCAACCATGGGATTCTTTTGTTTATGTGACAACCAGCATCTCCCCAGGCGGGTGTCAGGGGGCGAATAAGCATCTGTCTGCACATCACCCTCAGAGGTGGCATCAGCAGTGTCACCATGATCATCACCCGGGGACCCCACCTGCAGCCCATCACCTCTATCAATAGCATCAGACCCACAGCTGCCGCTGTCCTCAGCTGGGACAACCAGGACCCTGTGCGCGCTGCCATCCTATCGCTCGGAATACCCTCCACCAGCATCACTGTCTTTCCACCTGCTCCACAGTCGGAGTCATCGCAAGCACCCCGATAAGCAAACTAAAGTGTATGTGGCTTCATTGCTGCGACACGCACAGCATCTCAACCAGATATGGTGTCTGCCACTAGGAAATAGACACGACCCAAGGACACCCTCTGTAATGCTAGCAAGAGAACAGCAGATGCGCCTGGCCCACAGTAAATAAACAAAGCGTGAACTTAGAGGTGGACCGCATTCATGGACAGCACCTGGAGTGAAGGGGTGGGGCTTAAAGGACGTGGCTGGGGGAGCTCCACATTCTGCTGGGCCAGTGGTCGGCAAACTCGTTAGTCACCAGAGCCAAATATCAACAGTAAAACGATTGAAATTTCTTTTGAGAGCCAAATTTTTTATTTATTTATTTTTTAAAAATATATATTTTATTGATTTTTAACAGAGAGAAAGGGAGAGAGATAGAGAGCTAGAAACGCGATGAGAGAGAAACATCGACCAGCTGCCTCTTGCACACTCCCTACTGGGGATGTGCCCGCAGCCAAGGTACATGCCCTTGACAGGAATCGAACCTGGGACCTTTCAGTCCGCAGATCGACGCTCTACCACTGAGCCAAACCGGCTTTGGCGAGAGCCAAATTTTTTAAACTTAAACTATATAGGTAGGGACATTGTTATTAACTTAATTAGGATGCTCCTAAGCTGGCCTTTGCTGAAAACTCAAGGGGCCAAAGAGCCGCATGTATCTTGCGAGCCGCTGTTTGCTGACCACTGTGTTGGGGGGTAATAAAAACAAGAATCGCTGCCCCATGTCCCTCTCCAGACCAATCAAGTCAATCTCTGGGGACTTGGCATTTAAAACACACACAGAACTCGCCAGGATTTCTTTGTGTGTAGATTTAATGTCAAAACAAGAAAACAAACACCCTATAAAACAAAAGTTCATAGTTGTACACACTGAAGAATTTAGAATGACATGGACGGATGTCTGCAATTCACTGGGAAATGCACCCAAAATAAGAAGGACTGAGGGACAGATGGAGCGCAAGCCTAGGCGAAGGTTAACGGTAGGGCCTGGAAGATGGTGGGCTATCGTTGCTCACCGGAAAATTCTTCCAACTTTGCTGTATATTTGAGTTTTCACAAAATGTTGGTGACAAGATTCCCCAACTGGTTTTAATGGGAAGCCTGGACTGAGAGCCGCCGCAGCTGAAGGAAAAATCCAGAAAGAAGAGCCATCCCCTGTCCCCCACCCTCCACGTGAGAGAGCACACACTCCTTCCATTAGGCCAGTCAGCTGGCCCAGGGCCTCCCTCCCTTCTCCTGCGGGAGGTGTGCAGAGGACGTGTATTTGTGAGGTTCCTCTGGGGAGGGGCTGCTCCCCTCAGAGCCCGGGCTGGGGAGATGAGGCATACTGCTGCCCCAGGTCCCCCCAGGCTGTCCTGAGTGCCCAGCGCTGGGCCTGGGGCTGCCACAGCCATCCCAGCGGGCCAGCTCTGCTTTGCTCAAATGCCCCCATTGCCATCCTGAATCTCCCTTCCCAAAGTCCAGGCTCAGCATTCTTAGCGACGATAAACCCTTTCCCAGGACAGCCAGACCAGAGCCTGACTGAGTGTGTGTGTGTGTGTGTGTGTGTGTGTGTGTGTGTGTGTGTGTGGACACGCAGGCTTTGGGGTGGACACTGTGGGCAGGGGCCACCCCCACGCCTCATCTGTATGCTCCTCCACAGCCGCCGGCCCTGTCTGTCGGGGGTGCCATGGCAACACCATGCTCCTTAAACACAGGGGCTTGTGCTGCCTTCGCAGAGCGGCATCGGGCAATTTAATTAAGGAGCTGGCAGCAGACAAACTTTGGGAGTTAAAGGCATTTTATTAAATCCCATTGTATTATGCAGCTCAGTTCCTGAAGGAGCCGGGAGCGGGGAGCACAGAGGAGAGACTGCTGGGGTCTTCTCTTCTCCTCTTCTCTTCTCTTCTCTTCTCTTCTCTTCTCTTCTCTTCTCTTCTCTTCTCTTCTCTTCTCTTCTCTTCTCTTCTCTTCTCTCCACTTTTCCTGGCCTCTCTCCTGCTCCAGGAAAGCATTCCCTCAGTGTGGAGGGGCCCCAAATGGGAGTGCCTGTCTCCACCCCCCTCCCCCGCCCCCGCCCGCCCCCAGCATTAGGCCTCGGCCTTGTCTGCAGACAGCAGTCTGGGGATCTAATCACCAGCATTGATCCCACGTGTAACGGTTCACAGAGTTATCCCGGCCAGGCCTCCACCCTCGCTTCAGCATCCACAGTGGCAGGCTGGATGTCGGCACCAAGCACAGCCTTCCAGCGCCTGACTTCGTTGAATCCTCCGCCCCCGTGGAATGGGAATGGGGCCTTCCCATCACAGACCCAGACACCGAGGCCTACAGGGACCTTCCCAGACCGTGGAAGAAGTCTGTGGCAGAGGCATGGTTCAAACCAGCTCCTGCCACCTCCTACGGCTGCTGACCTCTTATCTCACCCTGAGAATGGCTTCCACTCTAGCCACAGCCAGGCAAACATTCCTGCATGAGGTGGGGGGCCTGGGTGGGGAGAGTTGGGGGGTGGGGGAGTGGGCTCTCTGGGACTCATTTCTACCCAACCCCCAGCTTAGAATGTGCGTGTGAAAGGTCACACCCAAGCCCCAGGGACTGGCCAGCACACGCAGGGGGCCCAGCCTCTGTTCCTGGCCATCACAGGAGAGTGTCTGGTGGGGCCAGAAGCCAAGTCCATCTCCTCTGAGGACCAGGGCCAGGAAACCAGACATGCCATACGACACCGTGGCTAGGGGTGGGGGAGAACTTCCGGGGTAAGAGAGAGGGTGAAACCAAAAGGCATGACTGGCCAAGAAGTCACCTGGCACCTAAGCTGCCCTCAAAGGAGCGGGGCTACGGGAGTCACCCCGGGCTCATACCCTCCGGCGTGCCCCGAGACTCAGCTCCTGCCTTGGGGGGTCCCTCCTTCGTGCGCAAGTGCAGGGAGCCCCCCAGTGACCCCCTCTGTGGAGAGGCCGCTGTCCTCCAGGGCTGCAGTCCGCTTCTGGCCCAGCAGGGCCTCCTGTCTCCCCAGGTCAGTCTGGCTGGGGGAGAGCCCAGGCTTGGAGCGGGGCCAGCAGGGGCCACTCTGCAAACACTGAGCCTCACACTGCCCGGTCCACGGCTTCACATGAGGAAGACAGAGTGCCCGCCCCCCACACCGGTGCTGGGGACCCGCCTCTTGGGCTCAGCCCCCTCAGTTCTAAAACGGGGCTGTCGACTGAATAAACAAATAAAAATAAATAAAGTGGGGCAACGACCTATGCCTTGTATAGCTAAAATGGATGCAAAAGATAGCTGATTTCATTAGGGGCTTATTCTCTGCCGGGACTTGCCACCCACTATCTCTTTTCATCCTCGTAACAACTCAGATTACCCCCACTGTGCAGATGAGGAAACTGAGGCTAAAAGAAGTTAAGCCTCATGCCCAAGGTCAGACAGCTAGTAAGGAGTAACAATCCCATTCTCTCTCTCTCTCTCTCTCTCTCTCTCTCTCTCTCAACAATCCCATTCTCTCTCTCTCTCTCTCTCTCTCTCTCTCTCTCTCTCTTTCTCAGCATGCGTGTGTGTGTGTGTGTGTGTCATATGTGTATCTGTGCATGAGCAAGCATGAATGTGTGTATCTGTGTGTGTGTATGTGTGTGTGTGTGCGTGTGTGCATGTGTGTGTGTGTGTGTGTGTGTGTTGGACGACGTGGCAGGCACAGAGGCGCCGTGCCCGGCCGCGTGAACCAGCTTGGAGGGGAGCGAACTGGGAGACTGTACTCTGCCAGTGCTTGTTCTCCTGGGCACTGGGCCTGGGTGGTGCCAGCTTGTTTTCCAGGGAACTAACGGGAACATTCTCCTCGGCAATAAGGATAAAAACAGCAGTAATTAACAGGGCTGTGGCTGATATTTCCCCAGCGCCTCTGTCCCCAGACCTCCAAACGCTGG